TCTATCTATCTATCTATCTCCACACTACATCTCAGAAGAAGAATACCACCCAACTATCTCAGTACACCATCTCCACATTTAGCTGCACCAGTCATGTATTGACCTGCAGTAACAGATAGGCTCAGAGGAAATGAGCTTGTGACTTAAAGGTCACAGTTTAAAATCTGAGTAGTACAGTAGCTGTGAAAATCCTGGCAGTTTAAATCCCTCAACAACTACCATCAGGGCTGTGACCTCTGGGCACTTAACCTTTAACTGTTCCAGTGGAGCAGCTCAGTGCCCAATAGTGCGAGACTGCGTTGCTGTGCCGTGCAGCTCCCAGGTGTGATTGTGTTAATGTGTGAATGTAGTCCAGCCTTCCTTCCTCTCAGCTACTCCCCCTCAGCCATTCATGCAAACGTGTATGTGTTCTTTCTCAGTCAGTGAGCCACGCTAAATGAGGCTTATGACTTGATAGTTTACAAATGTGTGGCATTTTGGGTTATTATTCCAGCTATGAGTGCAAACAATTTAATTCCTAATTTGGTGTGCTGCATCAGTGACAGTCAGGATACATTCTGTTGATCTTCTGTTTATTGTTGATACATGATTTTTTTTTTTTTACCATGTGTTGCTGCCTGGTCGCTGAGTATCCTGTTGACTGTGCTAAAGATACAAATCTGTCCCTTGTGCACTCTTTTTTCCTTGCAGTGGATCGAGACAGGGCAGCAGGGGATCAAACAGACACACACCCACACACCTACACACACATCTAAACAAACACGTACAGACTGACGTAAATGCATGAACAAAGACTCACACTTACACCACATATAAACACAAATACATTGCCACTGGGTGCAGTGGTACAATCCCCCACACACCCTCCATAACACTGACACACCCACACACCCACACACACTTGACAACAGGGAATAGCCCACAGAGATGCTCTTTGTCAACAACTTGGAAGAAAGCAGCTATTTAGGGCCACTGTATTCCTGTAAGGATAAGCCATCTTATTTGTGTGAAGAGCCTGTGTGAAACAAAACAAGTTATGGCAGTTACTATCACTCTCTCTTCCCCACTGTGTCTTCTCCTATTTGTGCTTTTCTGCTCATGAACCGGTGCTAATTGTATAAAGCAGACTACAGTATATTGTGAATGTAAATTTCCAACGGGCTCGGTGTGATGATGAGCAGATGCACTCGCAGATGTTTTCCCTCCATGTGTCTGTTTACCAGTTCAATTATCCCTATTGCATATACTGTAGAGATTTGTTGTTCTGTTTAGGCGCTTCAACTTAGATTTCAGGAAAAACACTAGTTAGTGAAGTATTACAAAACTGTGTGC